CCCCCCCCTTATTGTTTTATTAGGGCCCCCACCCACCGCTCAGGGGTGGGGGCCAGGTTCCCCCCATCTTTATTTAGGGCCCCCACGGGCATGGGGGGAGTGGGGGGGGTTATTAGTTTTTTGTTTGTTTTTTTACAGTGAGCAGCTATACGCTGCTTACTACACATGCCCCTACTCGCGGTATAGCGAGTAGGGGCATTTAAGTTACTAATACTAAGTAATCTTTACTCAGTATTAGTAAAGTTGGCTGTTAGACCAATTTAGGTCTTTCAGCCTTTTAGTAGATAGCTCCCTGATACCGTGGGAATTAGGGAGTTATCTACTAAGCGGCTGCAAAATGCAGCCACAACAATGAATAGGATCAGAGTTTCATTCATTAGAATGAAATTCTGATCCGAATAAAGTGCCGAATTGCGTTCTAAAAGAAACGAACAGACTGTTGTCATTCAGTTAGAACGCAATTCGGCAGTTTTGTGGAAAGTGACAGGAAGCATTGTGGGAACACAGAGGGAAGGTAAGGATCATGGGAAAATTGCTCTGACCAGCGGAAATGAAGCACACTTTGCCCCTCCGCTGGTCAGAGCTGGTCAAGCGGAGGAATCCTCCATAAGGCAAAGAGTCCCTACTTTGTCTTATGATTTTAAAGAAAACTAAAGAAGACAGGAAGAAAAGAAGAACAGATCCTGAGAGAGGGGGAGAAGAGGAAGAGATTGAGGAAAGGTAAGTTCGGCATGACAGTGCCGCTTTAATATTAAATGGACAGTTTATGCACCATAACAGCTTCACCTAAATGAAGTTGTTTTGGTTCCTTATGGTACTAGGATGCCCCTGGGAGAAATCTTAACTTAATGGGGTTAAACCGTCCTTGAACGGTTTAACCCCAGAGTTGCCTCCAGCACCAATATCCACTACCCCCAGCCTGGCACCTGGAATTCACATTCAGTAAGCACAGAGTATCGCCGGGCAGGGGAGCCACTGATTGGCTGAGAGTGGCCAGGCGACACTGAGCCAATCAATGACTCCTTATTCAAAAAACCTGGCTTGCAAAAGTTAAATTTCTTTAAACTTCAGGGTTAAACCGTAGGAGGAATATGCTGCATGCTGCTATACTTCATAATGTGCCGATTTCTATGACCTGTCTGGTTATATCATCTCACCTATGAGTTATTGATACAGGAATAGATAGTGTATGGACTAATGCACCTGAGTTTGGTCGAAACGCGTTGTGCAAGTATCTTTAGTTTTATATGCAATAGTGTATTTAACGTTATCTGGTTCCTGATTACCTTTTAAATGAATATTGCTGCTTACTGAGGGACCTGGCACTTGAATTCTACCCTGCATCAATCTGAGATTGAGGAAATGCCTGTACAGTCTAGAGCCAACTCCAAACTGGCTCTTTAATTTGTGTGTGTTCCAAGGTCTCACCATTCTGATTTGAGTTTACATACTATACCATGATATTTTTGTCTTTCAAATTATATAGGTTTTAAATTACTATTACCAGCTATGAGTGTGAGAGATACAGGGTATCAGTGTATGTGTGTGTGTGAGAGATACAGGGTATCAGTGTGTGTGTGTGTGTGAGAGATACAGGGTATCAGTGTGTGTGTGTGTGAGAGATACAGGGTATCAGTGTGTGTGTGTGTGAGAGAGATACAGGGTATCAGTGTGTGTGTGTGAGAGAGAGATACAGGGTATCAGTGTGTGTGTGTGTGTGTGTGTGAGAGAGATACAGGGTATCAGTGTGTGTGTGTGTGTGTGTGTGTGT